TCCTGTCTGACCCTACCCCTTCATTTCCTAAGGATTACCTGTTTCTTCACTGACTGCTATGGCCTTCTAAGCTTCCTCCTACATCCTCAGTTTTACCTAGTCTTTTTTTTTTTTTTCAATTACAGCTGATATACAGTAGTATATTAGTTTCAGGTGGACAACACAGTGATTAGACATTTATATAACTTACGAAGTGATCACCCCGATGAGACTAGTACCCACCTAACACCATACAGTTATTACAATATTAACTATATTGCCTATCCTGTTCTTTACATCCCCGTGCCTATTTTTATAACTGCCAATTTGTACTTCTTAATCCCTTCACCTTTTTTCACCCAGCTCCCCAAAGCCCCTCCTCCCATCTGGCAACCATCCGTTTGTTCTCTTTAACTTTGATTCTGTTTTGTTCATTTATTTTGTTTTTGAGATTCCACATGTAAGTGAAATCATGTGGTATTTGTCTTTCTCTAACTTATCTGAAAAGGGGACCCTTGTATGCTGTTAGTGGGGTTGTAAATTGGTGCAGCTAGTACAGAAAACAGTATGGAGGTTCCTCAAAAAATTAAAAATAGAACTAGCATATGACTCAGCGATTCTTCTTCAGGGTATTTATCCGAAGAAATCTAAAACACTAACTTAAAAAGATATATGCACTCCCTAAATTGTAAAAAGCTAAATTAGAGCACATGGACCAGTCACCCTAACCCTAGATTTCTGGGCCTAGCATCAGGGCTTTCCTGCAATTTCGCCCTGCCTTTCTAATCTCATCCTTCCCTAATCAACTTCACAGAACCTACCTTTCTGGCAGGCTAAGCTTGACTCAGTTGCCTAAACTTGCCTAGCTCATTCCCATCTCTGTGCCTTTCCTCCTCAAAGAACTAATGCTGTCCCCTCCCTCCTACCTTGCACTCATTCCAATCATAAGCGCCCTCCTCCAAGTCCAACCAAAGTTCTCCCTCCCCAGAGAAGCCTTCCCTAATCACCTGGCTTCCAGGAAGCTCTCCCTCCTCTGAATTCCTATATGTATTTCCCTATCATTCACCTGGCACTTAATCACTCACCTGACAATCTGCTATAGTGTTTACCTTTTAATCTTATCTTTTCACATGACAGTCATTTCCTCACGAGCATGAACCATAAAGCACACTTTTAAAAAGTGAAAGCTACAATACTAGGCGACACTAAGAATTTTAGGAAATAAAATTCTCCCACCAAGACCAATCTCATTTTTTCATGTTTCTTTCTAGCCCTTGCCCATTCCTGTTTACATTTTTATATGATAATAATCCTAAGAGTAGACTGAATAGTGGCAGATGACCACAATAGAGTTACGCATACCATTTTACATTCTGCTTTTACTTCTAACATAGAAAACAGTCTTCCTTGTTAAATGGTTTTAATTGTCATCATTTTTAATAGCTGTATAACAGTCTTTCCACTGAGATACTAGACAGTGGTTTACTTAAGCACTGACTTCTACTAGATATCACATTCTGCTTTGTGTCTTTCACTGCACCAAGTACTATAAAATGCAAAGTAAACCTGAGAAATGCCTGTTGAAATAAATGTATTGTCCACACTTCTTAACACCTGCAATAACCCATTTCACTCCTTTTCTCTCTAGCTAAATTTCTAGTGTAATTTCTGGGTTTACCACCTATAGGTAGATAGCAAAGGTGTTTTCCAAACACTTTTTATACAGATGTATTTATTTTGGTAGTTTATCTTATATATATTTAAACACGGGAAGCCCCTTGAGGAAAGGCCATAAGATCCCATAATATCTAATATAAGCTAGACACCTGGCAGGCACTTGATAAAAATTAAATATTTTTTAAACCACCTAAAGTTACAAAACATCAAATTCCTGAACAGGAGAGTGTCATTGATCTTCCTAGTACCATCATTTATGCTTGTAAAACTTACAGCTCATTTAATAATTAGATTAATTAATAATGTATGAATGGGTGTTCTTTACAGTATATTGAAGAACACAAACAGAGTTACCTGGTGAGTTATGCAAGTCTGAAAGATAACATGAAAGACAAGCAGTATTTGCAAACAGAACTTCAAGAGCTCATGACAAAACAAGTTTACCCCTTTTCCTTTGGCTTAAGTTCATATTTCAGAAGAACAAAAGTAAAATTAGAACTATGTAAAATTACATATGCATGTGAACACAAAGTAGAATGGAAATAAGAAAATGAGAGTGTGAACTGTCAAAATGGAAGGATGTCAGAGACATTTTCCTTTTTAATTTTTGTTTGTTTTGTTAGTATAATGTTAAAATACATAACAAGAGAAACATTCCTGACAAAAGCATATTCATTAGCCATTACATCTCGTGCTTTTATTGAATTAGGGCCTAATGCTTAATGTTCAAATAATATTTCTAAGACCCACATATAATTTAGCAAAAAAGACTGAAACACTCTTACTTCCATGTAAAATAATAAACCAACTACCTACCTGAACACCTAAGCACGGTCAGTGACTGAACCACATGAAGAACGTCATGGTACACTAGAAGCTTCTTGCAAATTTCAGATTTTCCTCAAAAAGTAGCTAATGTGAGTCCAAAAATCAGAGTCTATATAGTAAAACTACATCATCCTACTAACCCATTCCCATTCTTATTTGTGAAGAGTGATTTCCGACGTTGATTTCCACACTGACATGCTAAGAGAGAAACAATTATGACTAAAAGTTTACTATCTGTCATAATTCTATACTATTATTTAATACATTAATTTTTCTAAAAGTAATAATTGGTCAAAGTAATATGACTCTTTTCAAAACTACTGAAAATGAATATGGTTTTGTTTTAGCCTTTTTAAACAAACTTCTAGATAGAGGTTTAAATATCACTGGCTTTTAGAACTTCACTACGGTGTATTCCATAATAACCTCTAGATTTATGTAAATGACTACTTCCTAACAAAATAGAAATAGAACCAATTTTAATTATCTGTGGTAATCCCTGAAAAAATAAGTCAGTGCGCATTCAGGAAATATAAGGCTAGGTAAGAGATGGCACTAAATGAATGAGGCAGTGCACCACAAATAATGTACTTCTATTTATAGGGTAATTGATCTATGTGTAAACCTTAATTTTAAAATGGGTTCAGCCAAAGGAACAGCTAACATCAATTCCATAGCTAAAATTATTATTCTATACACCCATCAAAACTCTGACACTGACAATGATTACAATCTAGTTAATGACAATTTATAAAAAGGACAGTACTTCCCCCTCAAAACCTGAAACCCACAGGGGAGGGGAAGAGGGGCTATAGGTCTGTTGTGGTGGTTGGTTAGCTGCCTCTTTCTAGTACTGACATTTCCAAGTTTTTTTATGAAAAAGAAATTTTAAGAATGTGCTATGATAATCCTTTCAGAATCAAATCCCAGATCAGTTGTGTTTTATGTGGCTTGGTTTTTTAGGTTTTTCCTAATTTACTGTGATGGTAATAAACTTAAGGTGAATTTAAATAAAGATGCCTGAACACTGAACAGAAGCTTTGGAAAACTTTCAGAGTTCCTCTAAATTCTTTCATTTTGTCAGAGCACGGAACTAGTGAGGCAAAGACCGAAGTAGTTTAAGTTCTTAGGGAAAAACTCTTCTGTGTCACCTGATAGCCTTAAGCTGACCTAGTAGGGACAGAAGGAATCACCAACTCCAAACAGTAGTTCTAATTCCAAGAAAAGAGAGAAACCAACTCCCAAGAGAAGCACAAACCAACAAAGCATATGTCAACTGGTTGATCTGTATATCTTACTAAATACAAAAAGCCAGCAAAGAAAAGGAAAACTGGAAAACAACTCATAATTTCTACGTAACTTAACACTTGATTATGGACAAAGAAGTGGCAAACACGATTTAGAACATGATTTTGGAATTTACAAATGATTCTGATTAGTTACGAGTCTTGTCAAATGAAAAGTCATCTCCTGGGATTATAACAGTGAGCCCAATAATATAACCTTCGACAGAAAGTGTTTTCAAATATATTATCTCATTTAAAGAAACCTGCCCAGTAGTTAAGCATTACAGCCAACCCCCGGCCCACCTCCTCTTCGGACTTCTAGTTGGGGTTCTCTTCACTCCATTTCACTGCCTCTTAAAAAGGATTTAAAACATACCGGGTTTATCTGCTTTCTCTACCCTCCCTGCAGAAGACAGAGAATGTCTGAAAGATACAATTTCACAAGAATCTTGGCACTTAAACTATTTATTGTTGAGAGATGACGAATATGACTTCAAGCAAAAACAAAACTTTCTCAACAGTCGAAAGAAGCGGGGGGTATGGGACATCTCTTTTACAGAACTTCAAAGTATTTACAACGCCTTACGACCGTCCAGGTTAAAGGAATATAAAGTGAAATAGCCAAGACAAGGAAGTTTTTTGCACTTGAATACTTTCTCAGGAGGAGTAAACCAAATTCCCTGCCATTTTTCCTGCCGCAAGGCACCAAAGTGCAGGTTTGGGGCGATCCGGACACAGACTTGGGTCCTCGGGGGACCCTAGCTGTCTCGGCCAGGCCGGAGGGGTGAGGACCCAAGGGGCGGGGGCCGCACTGACAGCTGGCGAGGAGACAGCGGGAACGCGGCGAGACACGGGCCAAGGGGCAACAGTGAGGGAAGGAGGAAGCGAGGCGAGGGACAAGGGCGCCCTCCTGGAAGGGCAGGGGAAGAGAGAGGGATTGAGGGCGAAAGGGCGCCGGGGCGGGGCGGCCGCGCCGGCGGAAGGGGCAGCGGACCGAGACGTGGGGCCCGTGGCGCCCCGGGACACTGTGCGGGCGAGGGGAGGGGCGTCCCGTGCAGGCGGGGCGGGCGCAGGGGAAAAGGTTTTGGGGTGCGCGGGCCGCCCTCCCGCCCGCATACGGACTCCAGGGGCTGCGCGGCCGGCCCCCACACGGCGGCCGCCGCGAAGGGAAGGGCGCACCAGGCACCTGCCGCCTCCGCCGCGGTGGCCCCAGACGGGCTCGGCTCTCACCTCTTCGGTTCATGGGCCGGATCCGGACGGCCACTTTCACTTTGGAGTCGCCCATCCTGCCGCCGCCGAGACTCTCGTTCGGCTTCCGTCTGCAGCGGCCACCGGGCAACTCTTTGGGGCTGACCGGGCAGGAGGGGGCTGCGGGCGGGAGGGGCGGAGCCTGTAGAGGGGGCGGGGCCTGTAGGGGCGGGGCCGGCGCGTCCCCGCTGCTTGACGGGACTTGTAGTTCCTGGAGGGGTGGTGAGCAGTGCGGCGACTGAGGGGCTCTGGCAGGAGAATTCAGTGTTTGGTTGTCTTCTCAGGACCTTGTAAATGCCCCCTTTGCTTTCACATCATTCTTATTCTCATAAGCTGTCGATGAGCTGGTACCACGCTCACTTGAGAACAAACAGTTGAATAATTGGCACGGAAACCCTGCAACCTCCTCAGACTCATTTCCTGCCAACTTAGGGTTTGGTCCCGGGATCAAATGATTGCCTCTGCCTAGATTGCTTTCCTCACCTTGTTTTCCGACATCATTCTTCAAGACAAGTCAAAAGTTACCTCCTCTGGAAGTCTTCATAGATCCACAAGTTGACCCTATACCACTCCATCGCCTGCCCACCTTTCATTCTAGACCTTGGTCTCTGTAACCAGTCTGGGTTCAAATCCCGCCTCAGCACTTTCCAGCTGTGTGGCCACTGGAAAACGATTTGACCACTCTGTGCTTGTCTTTTCAAATGTAAAGTAAAGACCATAAGAATGACTACTTTATAGGGTTGTTGTGAGGTTTACTTGAGTTCATATACCGTAAGCTCTTAAAAACTCCCTGGCGTGTAGCAAGTGCTCAGTAAATGTTAGTCATTATTTTTGCTGTGTTATAGCGTTCGTTGATGCTGCAACTGTTTATGTCTCTCGTATCATGTATTTTTTTAAACCATATCTTACTTATATGTGTAGCCTAGCCTGTAATAGAGACCCAGTAAACATTTATTGTATCAATGAATCAATCAATGAAGCTCTTTATTAAGCTGTTAAAGAAAAAAACAAACAAAAAAATACCACAGGCCCCAAGTGGCTTCGCTCATGCTAAAAATCCCGTGACACCAAAACTAGATTTAATACCTGATCGAATTGCCATTTCAACCTCTCCCAGGAATATAATCTTAATCAACCAGTATGGAATTTTCTAACAAGCACCAGTAACCTGTCATATAGGCCCTCTCTATCTCCCATAGAAAGAAGAGACAATCTACATAGTAAAAACCTGTCCCAGTTCTTTTCTTTCCCTAATAGCTCCTTTGCCTCACCCTTCTTCCTATAAAATCCTTCCATTTTGTACAACTCCACCCAGTGCCCTTCTGATTGCTAGATGGGATGCTGCCCAATTCATGAATCGCATAATAAAGCCAATTAGATCTTCAAATTTACTCCACTGAATTTTGTTTTCTAACAAAGCCCTAACAGAGACTGCTAACTGGTGGCCTGTAGACAAGATCTGGCCTGCAAATATGTTCTGTTTGACCCAACAGTATTCACCAGCACATGAAAATCAAGAAATGTTTACATGCAATATTGGGCCTACATTATCTATTGGAAGTATAGATTGGAGCTGAGGAGTAGTGACCACCTTTATAAGAGGCAGGTCTCTCCCATTCACCATAGCCCTCCTCCAGTCTGCTTTACCACTCACGTGTCTAGATCCCAGGGATTTATGATACCTGCTTGTATATGTTTACATGATAGTACAGAACTCAGAACCATTTTACAGATGAGTAAACACAGAAAGCTGGCAAGACTTGCGCTTTTACCAACCATCCTGTTGAAAGAGCTTCAATACAAGCAGAGTTGTCAAAAAGGTTAATAACACGTTTAAGAGGTATGTAACTCTGGGCCTGCCGGGTGGCTCAGTTGGTTAGAGCACGTGGTACATGCTCTTAACAATAAGGTTGCCTGTTCTACTCCCGCATGGGAGGGTGGGCTGTGACACACCACCCCCACCCCCATCCC